ATCATCATGTATCATCATGCTCATCATATATCATCATCATCGTGCGTCATTATTATGTGTCATAATTACCTGCATCATCATGCATCATGCATCATCATCAGGTGTTATGTTTACCTGCATCATCATCATGTATCATCATCATGTATCATCATCATCATGTATCATCATCATTATGCATCATCATGCATCATCAAGCTCATCATGCATCATCATGTATCATGCATCATCATGCATCATCATCATCATCATGCATCACCTTGCATCATCATGTATCATCATCATCAACAACATGCACCATCATTTTCATCATGACCATCAGCAGCACTATTAATGATCTCCATTATCAACACTGGTCTGCCCTTTTGGTTTATGTGTACTCACCCTAGCAGCCTCAACAGCACGATCAACATCCTCATGTGATGCAAGGCAAACTTTGGCCAAAACCTTAAATGAAAATTATACAACAAAATAAGTCTTTTATTCTTTATCATCGGGGCCCAGTTGTATGAAGGGTGGATAGCACTATTTGATGGATAAATCTTATCCAGTGGATAAATTTATTGGATAACAGCATCAACTTATACACTGGATAAGGATTTATCCATCGGATAGCACTGTCCACACTTTGTACAACCAGGCCCAGGTGTTTTATTGATAAAAGATTTGGTTCAATATATCAGAATATTTCATTACTAATTAAAAGTAAATCTTAATCTAATTGTGTTAAGATCTGAATGAAAGACACAGGAAGATTACAGTACTTACACTTCCATCAGTCGGGTTGATTGACTCAAACATTTTTCCATGGTGGGCATCTACAAACTCTCCATCAATGAACAACTGATATGGCATGTGAATAGTCATGTCATTCACTTCCAAGTCAGTCTAAAAAATGAAGAACAAAAATAATTAATATTTAGCCTAACCTTAATGAATTAGGATGAAAAGAAGAAATCAATTAATGGATGGAAATCTGACTGATGGATTGAAGGCTGACTACTGGAAGGATAGAAGTATGCAGTATGGGATGAATGGAATAAGAGGACTATAACTGTAGGAGACGATTACACTCAGCACAAACATTAAATGTCACATGAGCTGTACACATTTAATACGATGGATAATAAGCCATTTTTCTTTCACGTCATTGTGCCAAGCAATAGGACCAAAGTACTTACAGTATTGCAAGTAAACTCTTCCTTGCCTTCTCCTCTCGACCTCAAAATAGATAATCTGAGGAATGCCTCAAATCTAAAATAAATCCCAAGATGATGAATTATGTAACAATATCAATAAACAATTCAAAAATTTAAACACTCCTGTTTTAGAGCTAGGTCATTGCCACCTTTATTGGGGAAAGATTGCATAAACTTTGCAAACTAAGTAGGCAATCCCTTATACTCCTAGAAAAGCTACCTTTGAGAGAATTAAGGGGTAACAATTGAAGCCCTGTCCTTCTGAGTTAGCTGGGTTTAGTTGAAGTTATCTACTTTCTGTCAACATGCAAAGGTAACCAGTTTCCTTTGACAGGCTCAGTTGTGTTGGTAACCTACGACTCTACCAAGAAAAAATGGGTTGTCATGGTTTTAATACTAAAAATGGTGTGTATGCATACCTTGTGTTGAGGTAAACTTCTTCAGCCTCCAAGATAACCGAACATTTCTGCTTTAATTCTTCAACAAGCCTATTAAAAAGACAAACTTCTGATTAATGCAAGTTCTCTCTATTTCATCCCCACCCTCCCCCCCCATCCCCCACCCTGTATCAAGAAGGTCCTAAATCTAGGACATATCCACGTCCCACAGGTATAGTCTGAGTTTGACAAACATTAGGTTCATTCTGGTCTAGTTTTGGAAAGCAAGTACAACATCAAATAAGACATGATAACTTCTGTTTATTTGTACCCGAGCTAGACCACAATGCACTAGGCTTGCTATCTCAAAATAAGCCTAAGTCCTTGAAAATTCAATTCTGTGGATCATGGTAATGTTCTAGTACTTAATAAAACGTCCATTAGAAACAGACCTTGCTACATCCATGGAACCAGCTCCAGCCTTGAAGAAGTCTGTTTCGTCATTTATGTCAGGATTGGCCAAGATACCAGACCATATTGTCTATAGAAGCAAATAAAAAATCAGATAATTTAGAAACTAATATAGAAACTAACTCCTTGCTGTGTTAAGCCTGCAGTCAGTTTTATTTTTGACGTCAAAATATGATGCAAAACTGACCCAAACCACTGACAACCATAAAAGCTGTCTTATTTAGTGAAATTATCATTTCAAACCACACATATCATTCCCTAGAGTATAATTTTTATGGCCTTTTAATGGTAGTATAATATTTCCCATTTTCATTCAGAATATTTTTCATTCCCTGAAGCATTATATCTTTCTCAGAAGATTACACATAACAAGACACATTTTATATCAAGCTTATATGAATGTAGTGATGGTTACATAATAACAGAATTTAATCTAAAGTTCCAATTCAAATACCTTGATTTTTTCCATAATGACTTTTTCATCATCGGTGAGCTCTAAAGCAACTGTTTCCTCTTCTTCTAGTCCATACTTGGAGGCAGAAACCATCCTTCCATCAGCCAACTGCAGGGTTTTTACTGTTACCTTAACAGAGATGAGCAACAGTTTACTATGTATTACCTATCACATTTTGTTCTACTTTATTCAAGTATAATTCCTACTTGAGGTTTGAAGGTTAAAAGTTCTGTCATGTGCAGTCGAACATTTATTACATACATGTGCCATCCTTAGGGAATTTTCAGGTGGGCATTAACAATAGACCCCTTGCAGCACGTCAGAATGCAGCTCAATTTATAAAGGAAATCATATATATGGTTTCAAGTGCAATTTTGAATAAATTTGAATGAGTTCTAGTTTATTCTAATATAATTCTCAGTTGGTTTTGGCCATGCAAGTACTATGGAGACTAAGAAGGATAAATGAGTGTTGAAAAACCCTCCTTGACCTGTGTACAACTGGCCACTAAATAGAGGTTGGCTGCTCAAGAGGTGGCAGCATGATTAGTGTTATGACTAGTTTAAAGTCTAGTAAGATTAGAAATCACTATGAAAAACCTTGAAAATGGTATTCCTGATTGGCTCATTTTGCACCTTATCTTGGAGCGCAAAATCAAATCAGGCAAATCATGGCCAAGGATTCATAAAGATAACCATCTCAGGCTAGAAGAATGTGTTTTCTTACCATTTTGCCATCTGACCCGAAGAGAGTCATGCCATCTTTGTGCACTATGGCTGGTTTATCATGACCATCAATGTAGACTTCTGATCCTTGTGGAACTCTCTTCCTTGGTCCAAGATTGGAGCCATAAAATGTAACTTGCTATTGAAAAAAAAAGCAATATTAAAAAAAATTCCAGTTTTTAGTCATTTTAGATCAGGAAGACGGAGACTGACCAAAGCACGTGCATAAAACGACCCCCCTAAATCCCCCTCTGATTCTTTGGCAAACATTTTTCTAGAATATTTTGAAGCTGTACTAGTACTTCATGTCACCCAAGTTGTGGAGCAAAAGAAAAAAAAAGAAAGTTTTTGCATGACAAGAAATTTCATATCCCTAAGAAAAGAGGTTATCAATTGTTTTCCCCACAAATGGTTAGTGTTTGGAAATGGCTCCATTGCTCACCTCTCCATCGATGGTTGCCCAAGCACCAGGCAGTTTGTCATTTCCACGAATAAAATTGTGCAGTGCTGCAGCAGGAAGTCCCCAGTTGATCTAGAAATGAGAGCAATTACCACAGATCAATTTTGTTGCAATACTTATGTGTGGAATACATTAGCGTCATCAACCAAAACACTAACACGTTTATGCCCAACAAAAAAGTAAAACATGATGACAACGCAGTTGCAGTAAATTTTTTAACTTTAAATTGCCCTTCCCATCTTTTTAAATTTTCATTTATTCTGAAGAATTGATAATACTAAAAATGGAAAACGTATGGGGAAAAACAACAAAGCACAATAACCAAGAGTTGAATATTTTAACATAAATTACTTTAATTCACTTACTTTTGCGACTTCCTTCTTTTTCCAGATTTTGTCATATGTTGCTCCATCTTCTGTCTGGGGGATTTTTGGTGCTTTACCATCAGCGATCAGCTCTACAGCTTCAACCTTGAAATAATAAGATAACCATTGCATCAAAGATCATAATGCAGACAATATCTAGCTATTATTAGCTATTGTTGCAGAAGACATATGCTTTTCACCCAGACTATTGGGCTGCTTGTGGTGTATTGGAGCAATTACATGGGCCTTTTCTGGGTTTGATAAGGGCTTATCGTGGTCTAAATTCAGCAAAAACAGTGCAACACAAGGCATTATGAACAAAAGATGTTTAAATTAAAGCTAGAAGCTCTTGGCTCAGTAAATATTCAACAGTCTTCACTTTGCCTTTGCTGAACAGCAACTATTAAATAGCAATTGTAATACATATAGCTTCTCTTACCATTCCCTTGATTCCCTCAGGATACAAGAATCTGTTGTATAAGGTATCAACAGTGTCATTGCGATCTATGTCCACAGTTTTCTGCAGCAGAATTGGCCCGGTGTCCAAACCATCATCTGCCCAGAATATCGTAAACCCTCCTCTCTTATCACCTTCCATCAATGTCCTACACATTGAATAACAAAAAAGCAATCAATATATAACATACAATAAAAAAAATACCAATCACGACTTTCTTAAGGTGGTGTTACATCAGACATTTTTTTGTGCAACATTGTTGCATTTGATTTGTTTAACATGGCACGCACACCAACGCAAATTGATGGCAACAATGTTGTGAGTTTTTAGAAGTCATTTAACAAAATATTGTTAAAAATTGTATTCGTATACCATGCTACAGTAGGCCAGGGTCTTCAATGCCAGCTTGAGTAAGTGGAAAACATAAGGGTTATACAGGGAGCAGCGAGTGAATCTTTCTCATGTTATCCTTAAATTTTGGGGAAATTAAATCAAAAAGTGCAGCAAGTTCATGTAAAATATCCAGACATATTTGCTAGCTGCTGGCTTCTAATAAAAACCCTGAGGGGCCAACTTTTAATGCAACAATGTTGAGTGAAAAATTACCATTGCAAATCATCTTGTGCAACACCACCTTTAGGAAAGCTTTATATTCCTTTTGCATGTATAAAAAGATATGAAAGATTTCTCTACCAACAAAGCTACCTATTGAAAGTAGTGGGCTGCTGCATGAAACTAAAATAAAAGTGAATTCACAAATTTGAAAATTTTTGAGCATTTTTAAACCTGGTATCCAAGTAATAAATTTTTATATTTGTCATCCTTCTCCTAAGCCTGTACACCCCTGGTGGGGTATAGGGCATCAACAATATCTTAACGCAACACAGCCCTGTGAACTCCGCCATGGCCAGTCCCAAGCCTGGATGAGAAAGGAGGAGGGTTGCCCAGGCAAAGGGCTAGCAACCCTTCCCTGTAAAAACCAGAAAACGCTACAGAAACATCACACACATCATCTAAATGCTGAGGTTATGAATATCTTATTCCCAAGAGAGTGAAAAAGCTCAAGTTTATTAAATTTAGATTAAAACTGTGTTTCCTTATATCAAATATTTGACTTGTAACTTATCTAGCCTATTACATAACAGGCTTACAACACATGAAACATTTCCTGATCCAAGTAGTATTTTGGCAAACACAGCCAACCCAAACAAAGCTTTGCTTACTTATAATCCGCAAGACTTTGTTATATTTACAGCAATGTGGTTTTGTACAATACACAATAAAGATAGTACATTATTTTTATACAATCCTCAATGATTCTTTTATTGTATTTCGAGTCGCTCTCGACTGGTTTTACCAGATTTAGAGGTAGTGCCTCGCACTTGCTGTCACAAGAACACATGGCATATAAGAGAACCAAATAAAATCGAAGCTAAATAAGGCTTTTTTCTAAAGTAAAATTAGATTTGTAACTATTGCGTAAACATACCAATTGATAGCAGAAGCACCACGGTGACGAGGTAAAATCGATGGATGGTAAATGATTGAGCCATGTTTAGGGAAGTCAATCACGTTCATCGGAATGAACTGGCTGCAGAATGGCATAACGTTTAGCTCAGCACCACACTGGGTATATTGGTTGACTACATCCGTTATAGGCTCTCCTTTGACTCTCCAACGAGGGAATTTGAAGACTCTGACTCCATCTTCTTCCGCTCCACTGGCCAGGACATCTGGTTTACCGTTTACATCAGGGATAGTGAAGACACCAACGATCTCGTGTCCTTTACTACGAAGACTCTTGTACACTTCTAAGCCAAACTGTGACTGGCCAATAATAGCAATCTTGAGTTGGGCCATGTTTTGGGATGCAGTGTGTATCGCTCTTCGACCTGCCTGACGAATAAAACGACATGCAGAAAGCATAATGCAACTACCAACTTTGATTTGTCATAGAGAATTTTTGACTGGTTCTAATACAAGATGGCAGTGAACAAACAAGGCTGGGATTTGAGCCAATCAAAACAGCCGTTAGAACTTATACCTGTTAAACTTGTTTTCAATGGGGGCGTGTAGTGGTGCGCTCCCCTTTAGAACACGTATCATTTATATATTGGAAAGAAAAATTATCGTAATAAAGTACAAAAATACGAATGATGTGCAATACTGAACAAGCATTTGCCTTAGACTTAGGAGAGTACAAATTTATGTGACTTTCTTTGTTGTTTCGCTCTCATCAGCTGATAAATTCTTCCCGAACAATGAGTCCGGGGAGATCCGGAAAGAGTTTGTCAAGGGATGTGATGCGACAATAATTCAGATTAAGACCAGCAAAACACCTGTTCAATCGATGAAATAACAACCACAGATAATATGAATACTTTGAATACACGAATCTATATCTATATGATTGAATTGGATATATATACCTTGCCAAGTTTTTAGCGATATCTCGATTTGCAACAGTCGACGCGCAAACTAACCCAGACAGACGTAGGTCACCTGATTTATTATCAACAGTCACGTGACCCGGAGTCGTTGCTAAATCACCAAAAAAAGCCCTTTTTTCCAAAAAAAATTACGCTTCCACATCCAAGACGAAGAAAATCAATTAACGCGCCGAACGCGCCCCAGCAACGGCATGGTAGCTACACGTGGTGATTTTCGTACTTGCCAAAACAAGGGAATGGAAAATAAATGCGAAAAAATACATATATGCGGGATATACACAAAAAAACTGGAAATCTATTAAAAAGTGTAAAATTTAACGACTTTCTTATACCAATTTTCACTGCGTACTGTGGTTTTTAAGGCAGCACTACTGTATTAGTTGGGTTTCCTGTGGTATTTGAGCCAGTTTACCCGGTCAGCAGTGGCTGAGGTAATTTATGCACATAATTTACGAATCCACCTTACAGCGCAGTTTCACTAACTAGAGCAAACAAAGTATGACTTTCTCCTGATTAAAGGAAAACCATCAAGAAATGGCTTCAAATATTGTTAAGCTTTGCATTTTTGTACTACAACTGTCTATTGTTGTGCAGGGGGTGAAATACCCTGCAAAGTCAAGAGTCAAGGATATATTCGAAGCACCGAAATCTGGATACAAAGAGCTGTTTTCAACACATCAACACGAAGAAAACCGACTACGTCGGAGTCAACAGGAAGTTTTAACAAATAAACACAGAATCCGCAGGAATACTAACCCAGACTGGTGCTCAGATCCAACGAAAATCAAAGATCATGATATAATAAACCGATTGGTAGGTATTTTACGTAAATATAGAGAAGTTAAGTTCAGATGTACTTAATTGGGTAACTTTATTGTAAGCTTGAATATTTTAAAGGTCCCATTAAAACTGCTTTCGTTATTATTTTGTTTTAGTGGAAATTCCCTGTGGGTGATAATCATTTGTCATTTTCCATGACTTGGGTTGGAAAGGACTTTCAGGTATGTGAGATTAAGATCTTATAGGTAAGTTAACGATCTTATCAGGATGTTGACGATCTTATCAGTTTAGGATTTTTGTTCAAACTAATCGTTCGAAGGATTTGACTAGTGTCGCTTATCGAATAAATAAGCTTAATTTATTTGCCCTTGACCAACTACTGACTTAATAGTTTAGGGATAAAGCATTTAAGTCTTCAAAAGCCGTTTCATGCCCTGATCATTATGATTGTGAGTGAATTACATCATAAAAAATTATAATTTTGTTGTCTAGCTTTGTCATCAGTAAGTTCACTTTATGATCATCAGATAATCATTGCAATTCCCACTTCTATTTCTATTATTATTATCATTCTTTTCAAAACGTCATGAATAATTCATAAGCTTTTTGCCTGATAGATGATTTTTGAGATGCATGAGCACTTTCATAAATGTTGCAAGTGCAAATGTGCTTTCAGGCAATGTTCATAAACATTTCCATTATGTTTCACCTCAAAATATTAATTCGGTACTGCCTTATCCTCTCTGAAAAAAGTATAAAATCACCTTAATGGCACCTGGATTATATTTCAGACGATACTTCTGTTGGCAACTACAGAGTTTTTCATATTTTCAGTCCAAAGATCAGCTCTTTATAAAAGGTTAGTTTCATTACGTGTAGGTTTTTTGCAGAGTACGCTGGCAAAATTTATTAAGCTGAAATTATTGGAAGCCTTCCATATCCAGGCATGTAACAATCTCAGTAAAAATTCCAAGGACTAGTAACATTTATATCTGTCTCCCAAATTTTCAAGCAACACCTTCTCCTGCCATTTCCCTCCCCCTCCTAGTGAGGAAATTTGCCCAAGGATGTACCATTCAGAGAACTCTAAAATAGCAGCCAGTCATTACTACAGGCAATGTCTAAAGTCTATTGTGCAATCCAGCCATCGAGCAGCCATTAATTATTCTAGCCCAGGCTGTTTCTGGTTCTCTTTTTTTTCCATAAACCTCTTTGTTTTATAATACTAATTCATGCTTATAAATTTGATTTGATGATATTTATTTTATTCTTTTATTAGCACTGATTTTGGTGAAACATTTAATAAAACAAATCAGAATATTTATGAGGGAAACATCAGGAAGAACGACGGACTTCAGAGAAGTCCTGTTGACCCAAACATGGTAAATATATAATCATTTTGAAATGCTATGATTTATACAGTACCTACACTGTATATAGTAGCAGCTATAACATTCTATAATGCCCCCAGCCAATCAGGAAGCACGATTCGTAACAGTGTATTTCAAATAATTTTATCAACAGTCTTTTTTGACTCTGATGAAGGACTATTGTCTATATATATAGAGTTTCAGTATATTATGTAGTTTCTGTCACAGCCGCCGTTAGTGTCATGGCCAATCCATAGTGTATATAGTTCATCTGTTACATATCCATTGAGTTGGGCTAAAACTGAGATGTTAGACAAACCAGGATGAATTACAAACTTTTTCACACAGAGTTTAAGTTTTCTTCTTATTGCTGCATTCAACTAACCAGCTCAGTCCCAACTAGTAACTACGAGTCATTACCAGTTTAAAATGTATGATTATATCATTTAAATGTGTTATTTTCAGGTGATCTTGGTGTCCTTCAGCTTGCCCATCATTGGTGTTTCATCTTTGTACATAACTCTAGATGGCACCAAAACATGGAAAAAAGTTGATCTAGGATTCCAGGTTCGTGGTGCCCTTGAATTCCATCCCCGGAACAAGAATTGGATCCTTGCCACAGCAAATGGCTTAAAAGGGGTATGTAATACTATTTATTCTACAGCACTTGTCACTGGCATGCAATAATAGGAGATATTATGGATGTATTGCAAATGAGATGCAAATGAGACAACAGGCATTGTATAAGCCTGATAGCATCACTTGTATAAGTCTGAAAACAAGAGAAATATCTCATTGCAGGCTCAACTGTACGTGTGGCAAAATTTTCATATTGTATATACTGTATGTGCAATATATGCCTCATAGCTCAATTCCAAGAATCTGGCCATTAAAATTTAAAAAAAAATCTTACTCAAGGTCGAGCTAAACCACTTTTGAATTTCAAAAAGGACTCATAAGGAGCTCAGTCAAAATGACTGTAGTCGTGCAGAAGGAAGGATATTTGCAATCTCTGTAAATATGCTGTTCAAACAACAACATGTCAAAAAATTCCATTTGCACTTTTTCATCAGGCTTATCTATCCAAAGACTCTGGAATGACTTGGAAATTGCTTCGACCTCATGTCATAAGTGTAAAATGGTGAGTTGAATTAGATTATAATAGACCATTATTCAAATTTTTATGATACCACTGTGTACCTTTGACTCATTTACTCAAAGCTAGTGTCATTTCAGTGTCAAGAAACTCACAAATACCAGTAGTAAAATAAAGAATGCAAAACTTTAATTAATGATACAAACATTGTGGAGTTCCACTGACCTTGACTCAAATACACATGTGAATATTCTACACAAAATCAAGGCCAACCCTGAGCAACAGAGAATTCAAAACTGGAGTATTATTGCAAGCATGATCATAATGTTCTGTTAAAAAGGTCAATGTTAGTCATATCATTAGGTGTATGAAGTAAGGCTGCTGTACATGTCCCACTTTGATGCAAGCACACCAAAGTGTATCCAAAGATGAGAATATGTGGACCACGTAGCACTTATGAAATACATGAAGATATAGAAATATAGATAAGTTATAGTGCTTGGGAACAAGGTTATTCCAGGCGAAAGCCCTTGGAATTAAATTCAGAAAAATTAATTTCCGACATCACTTTATTTCAAAGTGTATCCAAGTTTTTTGTATTATAGTGAGTGAGGTTCTTTTATGGAATTAAACAAAGTACCTTGTTCAACACTCTTCCAGTAGATAAAGCATGTATTTCATGGGGAAAAAATCACAATTAATAATTATTTGATTTCATTACCAGGGGTGCAAGGCAGGACAAAATGGTCAGCAAAGAGGAACAAACCATCTTGATGAATGTTGTACCAAATTATAATGGTAAATAATATTCATGTTGCTATGGCAACAAGTCTGTTTACTCTTGAGATGGGATCATGTCTCTTTGGTTAAACAGTTTTATGCGGAAACCTAAAATTATTTCTTTTCTCTTTAGGTCGTTTGAATATTTATAATCAGGAGCTTTGGAGATCACGAGATTTAGGAGAGCATTTTGAATGTAAGACTAAAGGAAGTTGTTACTCACTTAAATATATTCTAGACTTCCCTCATGTGCAGTCTTTTTGTCCATCCATCCATCCATCCATCCACCCACCCACCCACCCACCCACCCATCCATCTTGTCATTCATCTCTCTATTCATTTCTTTTCATCCATTTACCAATGCATTTCTTTTTTATATATTTTCTTTATCTCATCCATTAAACCTAATGTTTGCCACTTTATTTCTTTCAGTAATTGCTAAACATATTTACTCATTTGGAGTACAAGGACCATTTCTTTTTGTTTCTGTGGATTATAAAAAGGTTTGTATTGATTTTAATTTTTCCCCCTGCAAGACTTACATATAATAATTATTATTATGTGGATTTTAGATCTCAAAATTATTCATATCTTACTTGTATAATGGGGAAGGGAGAATTTATATTGGATTGATCTATTGGAATCAAGGGTGGCAGCTGAGTGGTAGTGCACTTGCCTCTCACCTCTGGGGTCTAGGATTTGATTCCTGGACTCAGCATCACATACATTAGTGAACCAAGGGTGGCAGAGTGG